AAGCACAGCATTGCACTGCTCTGAAGCTTCAGATGTTAGCTCGTATCATAGCAGCATATCCCAGCTAATAATGGGATACAGCAAAGCCCGTCTTCATCACCTGCCCGAAACCAGCTGCTTTGACAAGATTGTTGGTACCTAAAGATTGAACACTGCCATCCTGGAAATAGTGTAGTTATTTTAAAGCAGTCACATAAACCCAGCAGCTGCAACTACAGGCAGGGTCTAGCGCAGCTTTTGCTGGATATAAAATTTATAAAGATTGCTGTGAAATTAGGCCAGCAACGCAGAGGGGCCCAACAAAAACTTTCTGCTCACGGCCGGTCTGCATTGCAGTCCTTTTGCATCTGTTTTCTCCCTGCCTGTCTTTCTCAGAGCTGTCATCCACCCCAGCCCATCTTGCAGTGACTTGCCTCCTCTTCTCCTGCATTTTGCTATTCCTACTGCTGCCATGCACAGCTAGGGCGCAGCCAGGTCCCAGCTGCAAGGTGGAGAGCTCTGTTATTCTACCACAAACCCAGTAGCTGCAACGTCAGGTTGAAAGTTAGGAGTGCACTGGACTCAAACAGGCAAACTCTCCCAGGAAAGCTCCAAAGCAATTACAAAAATAAGTCAGGCAATGTCTTGAAACCACGCAGGCACCAGAGAGGACAAGAGGCAGTTCCTGGAGGAAAATGATCAAGTACTTAAACAATTTCATGGCAAAAGAATCCATTACCTTTATCCTCCAAAGGAGACTTTATCTTTAAATCAGCCCCTTGCTAGCAGGAAAAGGAAATCAAAGTCCATTTCCATCTTGCATTTGACTACTTTATTTCGTGTGCCTGCTCTGCAAAGCATTACGCTATTGCTGTCCTTTGTCAGCACTCTTATTTCCAGAGCCTCTCCTGCTTTTCCCAGAAACAGCTCCTGCCTTGACACAGTCGCAGCCCAAAGGCCATCCCTGCCGAGCAGCACAACAGTTGTCCCCAGCAGGCAGGACACTGACTTACTACTCCTGAGGCTCAGGCAGAGCCCGAGCAAACAAGCAGTGCTGGCCTCAGCTGCGTCCACCCCGGCAGGGCTGGCTTACATCTCCAGGAGTCTGAAAAGAGGATTTCTGGAGAAAACAGGGCAGAAACACCAAAGTTTCAGCCAAGCTAGTTAGCTGAGTGCCAGCGCTTCTGGAAGCAATCACAGAGCTAACCACAAGCCCAGGGCCAGCCACGCTGCATGACACTCTTCTTACTACAAGATGAGGGGTTGTAGATATTGGGACAAAAAACGGGACTTGAGGAATGAAGCATAGCACATTGCTGATTTTCTTAAGCAAAGCTGGGTTACAAGGAGATCGGGACCCAGCGCAGTAAAAGGCAGCAGGCGTCACAGGCATGTGCGCAAGGAAGCCTCAGATAACTGATGTCAAACAAAGAACAACCACTACAGCAATCACAAGTGTCTCAGAAAGCTCATCTATGAAGAGTGGACCAGAGCAATAATTAACTGGGAGAGTGCCATAAAATTATTTCCACTTACAGCACAGACTTCTTTTTTTTTTTTTTTTTAAAGTGAATTAGATAAACATTGAGTGTTAGTATTCAAATAGATACCAGGAACGTATGTTACTTTTAGATCATTAAAACCTGAATATTAGGTGCATTGTGCATATGTTGCAGTCCTTTGCAGCACAATACAAAATATATTAATAGTTTCCACTCCCTGAGTTATGTCTTCATGCAAAGGGGGGAGAGAAAAGGAAAGATGTTTTATTCAAGAAAAAAAAAAAACCAAACTACTGCAAGTAAAAGAAAACAGCTTACAAGACATAAATATAAAATATGTAAGAGATCTGAGAATACATTTGCTGTCAAATTCATTTCCAGGCAAAGGATACTAAATGAAATGTTCTGCCAAAATCCTCACGGACTCAAGTGATGAGGTATACAAAATTTGCTACAAGATAAGCTTCCACATTGCTATTCTATGCAATCTGAGCAGTAACCAAGAACATTAAATCACAGTACCTGTTTTAAAAACTTTTAAATATGTCTGGAAGTGTTGGTTTTCATTATGTTCTCATAAACATCTTTACATCTTGCATTTAAAGCAGTCATTTATACAAGACTTTTAAAGTGCATTAGTACATTCTATCTTGCTTATCTAAATTGGTGGAGAGGAAAAGCTGGCAGACAGAATATCACCAGCTCAGCAAAAGTGCATTTGTTCTCCAATTTTTATGGTAAAGAGACTGATCAATCTTTCCAGTACTGAAGTTATTAATGAATATATTTTTTCCAGTTACTGAGTTTCTGGCCACCTTTACTTACTCCACATACACGTTCCCCCCACCCCCTTAATTTTGCAGGTTTTCATTACTGACCTAGCCAATTTTACATCGTAGAGAGCTCATTTTTCACTTCAAACATAAACTCCTCAAAGTATCAAATAAGAAACTGTGCCATAAGTCTGCATGGAGCTAACAAATCTGCAAATATTAATTCCTCACACATGTACTCACAGCCCCCACACACTCAGTTTTTGGTCATAGCACACCTCAATTCTGCAAAACTATTTGATACTGATTCTAGTGTATTTACCTCTCTTTAGCTTCACCCCTGCAGCTTTCATCCAAGCCGCTTCCTACGGCATGGATTTTCTGCTCCCCACCTTGTATTAATTTAAGGCTGAGATTTTGCAAGGAGGGCCTTGGGGACAGGACTCTCAAACAGCTCCACAAAAGTTTCTCTCTCCAGCACCCAATTCTCTCCCACGGTTTGCACATCTCTCCCATTCCCTCCTTTCTCACACCATGGGACAGTGACGCTTATGGGTCCCTTTGGTTCTTCATCAGCCTAAATATTCAGAAATTCGTACCCACAAGTCAGATGGCTCCTCTGGCTGCCTCCCCAGGAGCCTCTGGAGAAAACTGCAGCAAACCACCCCACCACTGGCAAGGGACAAAGCAAGTTTCACCTCCTCCTGCACAGAAACATCACCTAGCATCCCTTCCCCATTCCCAGAGACAGTACTTGCCAAGAACAGCGGCAGAAGCATGCAGCAAACCACCAGGTCTGATGAACAGAGTTGTCTCCTTTTCCTCGCCCCATAAAATCCACCAGGAACAGCCTCCAGCCTTTTCAGCAAACTGTAAAAGCTGTTGGTTTTCCAACACGCCCCCTGCAACTCAGGAATCAGCAAGGTATCTGTACCCACACGCGGTCTCTCCCCCCAGCCTCCTCTCCCCCTTCCCACAGACAGCTAGTACAGCAGGGAAATACTGTAGAGGCAGGCAGACAGAATTTGTGCAACACTTTATTACACTGCTGAAGACTGGGAATCAGTTCTGGTGACAGCCTCTTTTCTGTTACTCGGGCTGAGGAAGTCAATAGTACAATGTGATTACAAGGTCACTGTCCCGCAGAAGGAAGCACACAAACTCTCTCAATACTGTAATTTGCAACTTTATCCTGTTAAAAGGACAACTCAAGCTGCAAAGTGTAACACTTAGAACCAGGTGCCCTTCAGTTGCTAGCATATTTGCAACTCCTGTTATTTTCCAAAGGCAGAGAGCAGCCTCTAAACTTTTGAGAGTGATACTGCAGTCAGACTAAGACTTCAGGTGAAAGGCAGCAGCACACATACTCGCAACAGACAAATGTCATTATAGCAAAGCATGGAAGGCTCTATTTGGCACAAAGTGGAAAGTCAGAACTTACATCTCAAGAACAGAACATGCTTATGTGATTGTAAAGAAATCAGTACGTGCAGTAAAAGGCAAGACAAGTTACCATAACCTTTTTTGGGAGAGAAAGGGAATCAGTAAAAGCCATGTCCACAATGGCATCTTTTATATTTCAGTCTTAACAGAAACCCACAGTTTGACTTAAAGTCCCTTTTAAAACAAACCTGATGATGTACTTCACACAGTGTCAACTAAGGATCTAACTTTACTACACATTTACATCATACAGCAGACCCATATCAGTCCTCCTGAACTCCCATGAAAGTGCTTGCACAACTGCATAGCTAATGGTCAGAAGAATCATGCAATACAAGGCTACAGGTACAGCCAAATTGCCCCTTTTATTGTATTTGGAAATATTGATTTCCAAAATAAAGCACTTTCAGGGTAACTAGCAAACATACTTTTTCCAAACCTGAAGCCTAGAAGTTAGTGGTCAAAGAGACATATTAGAATGAGGTAAACATACTGCATAGGCTAGATATTTAAATCCAAATTCCAAAAGTGATTTGGCTTCATTATGAAATTATTTCAAACTGAACAGAAAGAAAAAGCTATATACTTACAAAAACCTGAAAACAAATCCAGGTTGACCCTAACAGCAAATTAGAAAATAACTCATTTACAATGGGCATGTCCTACGGGGTTTTTTTTTGGGGGGGGGGGGGGGGGGGGGTTTTTTTTTTTTTTTTTTTGGTTTGTTTGTTTTTTTTTTTTTAAAAGATAGCTAGACAAAAGCACAATTTGAAAAGAGCTTTGCTTTTTCCATGGAGCTGTTCTTTCTAGAATACCTGCACAACCTCAGCTTGTCTCCTTCAGTTAATTCGAGCCAAGCCTGGTACTGGACACACAATGTCACAACACTCAGTGAATACTGGCCTTCCAGCCCATGCTGCAGCTTTCCTTGCCCCAGCCTGCATTCTGGACCGATGACAAAATTTTACGACACAAGGTGTTCAGAATAGAGACTGGCGCTTAACAGAAAGTGTCAGAGACCTTAGTTATAATTTTAAACCATTTGAAAACTAAGTTATAATTAACAATAGTGCCTTTTAGGATTCTTGCATTTTTATTTAAAATTGGTTCTTGCAGGTTCACTTTTCTAATATTCCCTTGTATCAGTGTATAATTCCCAGAAATAATTCCTGTCAGGCAATGCAGTTTTCTGAAAAGATAGTATCTTCCATCCTCACCACATTTTCAATAAACTCTGCAGAAGTCAGTCAATGATCAGACTGTAATAAAGTGCATATATTCCTTTCTGATACAGGCAACAAAGTTGTGGACTGAAAAAATAAATCATACTGAAACCACACAAAGAAAAAATCCTACATTTAGCACCCCACAAGTAAGTTGTCCCACTGAGTACTGCCCAAAAATACTTTTCTTCAAGTGTCTGTTAGCTTAAAAAAAAAAGGAACTTACAACATTAAAAATAATGGTTCCTTTTTAATTAGACTCTGAGAATCATGAATTTATGTAATCCTTGAAAGCTACAGCTCCCCCAAGGCTGGCATACTGCCTTGACAACTTGTAAGTAGTTTGTATTTTACCCTTTGGATCCAGGCTTCAAGCTTGCAAAAGCTTTGGAGTTTTTAAGGGAATGTGAAATTTCATTGAGAAAAGAAATAAAATGATAGTCCCTTTCTGACTTCTTGGACTCAAAAATAACTACAATGGTAAAGTGAGGTTCAGGGCGAGTCAGAAAGTACGTGCTTTGGACTTTGTCATCATAGAAGTGAACAACCTTCTCCAGACTGTTGAGGTCAGAGGTTCTGTCAGTCATAATCATGATTACATTGGGCCAGTGCATAACAGGCCTGTCGCTGGGCAGAGACACCACTGCAGGGTACTGATCCACTCCTTTGGGGGCTTCCCTGTAAGAGTGAGGATGATGATAACCGTGTCCCTGAAAACTCTCCGATCCACGATTGTCAAAAATTAGGGAAACATTGACGGCATCATACTTCCGGATGAAGCTGGAAATTTTCCCAAAGTAATCAGGATTTGTTTTAGCAGTCAAAGTTTTCATTTCAGATGCTGTTGTTTGTCGACTAAGGGCCTCGTGAAAGTAAAAGCTAAACTTGGCAAGGAGAATGTTTTTGAGCTTCATCAGCCAGAGGAAGAGGTGCGGAGGTTGTACAGCCTTCTGAGACTGCCCTCCAAACAGATGCTTCTTGGTCTCTCGTTGCTTCTCAAAAATTTGGCCCCAAGTCTGTAGTTTTGTGTGAGCAGTGTGCAAGTTGACCAGGGATGGAAGGAACTTCCACTCTGAGATCTGAGCCTGAGCCTTTAAGAGATGTGCAAGCACATCTACTTCCAGCTGGAAACTGCTTTCAAGAGGACTGAGGATTGGATGATGAAATCTAGAAAACATAACATTATTCAAGACATGAGAACTGCTGCACACAACAGCGAAATAATCAGATAGTATTTGTCAGTTCACAGACAGAAGACCAAACAGCAGAGTAAAGTGTAAATCAAAAAATAACCTTGTTAATTTTAAAAAACATTTTTCAACATAATTAGGGAAAATACTTTAATAAGCATACAGCACTCTGTATTTGACAAAACCACCTGTCAGACATTTCTCTATCAAAGCAAGGGAGTTATATTTGATCAGTTCAACAATAATCACTGTTCATCTTGATCCATGAACTACTATAGCACCATTTCTCTTTAAATTCAGGTGGGTTTGTTCCAATTTGAAATCCCTTCTGGTGGTAAAATATGTCTGATAGTTCTGGAATAGCAGTAAAACATTAAGTTAAATCAAAGGAATTATGTTATAAATTTGCTGTTTGTCTAGGGAAGCTATGGGGAAGCCAAGCTGAGCTTTTTTTTTTTTTTTAAACTCACAATAAAATTGTGATGGGAAATTAGTCAATAGAACCAAGAGTAACTGTATTTACCAATGAATCAGGTCTCAAACTCCAAAGCTTGGTGTACTAAAAGCAATGAAGGGGAAAAACATTTGGCAGGATTTCATCATATGTAACAACCAATTTCTCTCCCACTAAAAATTCAGGTCAAGATCAGCTCTCAATTTAACAGATTTAAAAAAAAAAAAACAAACCAAAACAAAAGAAAACAAACCAAACAAAAAAAAAACACCAAACCAAAACAAAAAAACCCACCAAACCAAAACAAAAAAAAACCCAACCACCCCATCTACCAGGTAGAAATGCCACTGCACATCTTATTCACAAGAGTGGTCCTACTACTAAAACAAATCTTGATGAAATGGAATTTTATAGATCCATTCTATAGCTTTCCCCTCTCACTTTATTTTTCTAAATGTCAGGAAAAAAGACAGATCCAGCCTACCACCCTTCCCTTGATATTCAAATTACTTGTAAATTTATAACATCATCATCAATAAATACATACTTAATTCAAACTGTGCAAAACTGTTCCAGTTACAGAAGCTAAATGTGTAACTTTAGAAAGAATTAGTCTTCAGCAAAGACAGAAGTGGCCTTTTTAGTAGATGCGTCCCCTAATAGGCATTTAGGACTCTTTAAGAGGTCTCCAACAAAGAACAACCAATAGTTCAAAGACAAGATTTGATGAGGTTACCACTTAAGCAAAGACAGATTTATCCCTTCACTACAGAAAAATATCCTGGGTCTTGTTATTGCTTTAAAACAAAGACGTTTATACTGAATCCTTCCAACCTTTAACAGCTCATCTTCAGTCAAAGTGGAAGTGACTCCATTATTCACTTCAGCTTCCAGAACACAATACATATAATCAGTTTTGGAAATACTTGGTTCAAAACGAAAACACTTCATTTTGTTGTGGACCAGAAGAGAGAATGAGAATTTTAGGCTTTTCATCCCCTCTCCTTTGACTATTTTGTCTTTGACTTTCCATCGAGCTCTTGCCAAAATATTAATTCTTAGGCTTGTGAAAATTGTCTAAGAACTTTCTCACTATTTCTAAGCGCCTCTTTTTTTGACAGCCACAGGTTTTGCTATTAAGACGCAAGTCCAAATTTATTTGAAGAAAATGAAGTGATGAATATCATAAATCAGTTGATGCACCATGTTCTGCAAACAGGCTAGGCTGGGTGCCCAGCCACCTTCTGTACACAGTACATGTCAGCAACCATCATATCTACCTGCTATAGCACAGACACAGCAATTACTGGCTACTTTGGTGAGCTGAGAAGTCCAGAGTATATTTACATTTCTTTGAACAAACAAGAGTCAATTAAAAATAATATTCTGCTAACAGTCAACATTATCTATTTCCAATGGTTTTGGTATTCAGCAGAAAACCAGTTTTGTTGCCATGTATTAGAGTGGGGAAAAAAAAGCATTATGCAACATTATTTATTCCAAATATTCCCATCAAGTGCACACTTAGCACAGCGTATTCAACACACCTGCAGTCAGACCAAGAAGGTTATTCTTCAACCTTAAAAGCAATTAAAAAATTCCTACTAATGCAGCACTGCCAAGTCTCCTGGATTAACATTATGATGTATGGCTTCCCACTTCTACTTTGCTTCATGGCTCATAGCTATTTTCATGTTCCACTGCACAGCAGGATTTGCGAAACTGTTTTCATCCAGAAATACACACCTCAGCCACAGCTGAGAAGCTTGATATGGTCACAGAGTAAAATAACAGGTTATGTACTCAGTAGATCTGCTGCAATTAACTTTCATAACACAGAAGCATCTGACTGAGCTCAGTATCACTTAGACAGGTTTTTACAGTATTTCAAGAAGCCAGTGTTAAGAACTTAAAAACACACTGGAAATTTTTTTTTTTCCCCCCCAATCATTCTCAAAAGCAGAGGGATGCTAGAGTTTTGTTTTGCAGACTATGAGGAGGCCTCATTTTTCTACAAATTTTTATTTCCTTCCATAGGTCACACATGCATGCATTTACAAAATGCTGGCTAGATGAAAAACATTTAACACTTAAAAATAATTACATCAAAATAGGTTTACTTGTTACTTATTCATTTTATACTAAGCTTTTAAAGGATCCTGCTGTTTTAATTATTTCAGTTAAGATTCCACCCAAACCAACAGTTAAAAAATTCAGGAAAAGTTACCTCTACAGCTGTGTTCTATAGAAAAACAGAGTAAAACACCCTAGTATTGGCTGTGTACAAGTCAGCAATAAGTAGCAACAAAATAGCTTTGAACTGTTCAAGAGTTAATGATTTTTCAGATACAGACAATATGACTTGACTGTTGACAGTCAATTAATTCTCTCATTCCTTTACCAGCAAGCACTTACTTGCTCTACATTATCTGAACAGCTATTTTTAGATGTAAAGGAAAGAAACCAAGGCCAGAACCTATCTACAAAACGGATGCCCTGTCTGGCCTTAGCACAGCTAGCTGAAATAATGGCACGCATCCTCAACTACAAATGAGAATATATTGACAGAGGGAAGAGACTGGGTAAAGACAAGTTTATTTGACCTTTCACCTGAGAGGGTCAACAGACTGTAAACCAGAAATGCCTTCCAGCCAGCACACATCAACATAACAGCCCCCAGAAACTGATCTGAGATATGAAGAAACTAAAGGAAGGACTAAAGGAAAAGATCATTCTCCCCACCTTTTTCAGAAATGTTCTGTACATGACTGGGGAGGACCACACAGCAGCTACTGAATTAGCTCTAACAGCATCTTAGAATGTCTCCATCTTAAAGCCTGCTCATTAACCCAAAGCACAATTATCAGTACTTTTCCCAGGGAGACATTCTGCTTATTGTTTTTAAAGAGGTTATAATAATGCCTTAGAAGTACAGGCATGTCACTGAAATTTATTAGCGTAGTAAAACATTCCATATGTAACAGTCTCCAGTCACTTTGTCAAGGTATCAGTTTTGGTTTTCAGATTTTTAACAGTACTGTTGACTCAGGACACGCTCAGAACAAATGGCAATGGTTAGTGTACAACCTAAGTCAACTTTTCAAAAAAACCAAACAAACACACACACAAAAACCCCCCCCAACCAACCAAAAAACCCACAACAAACCACCACCTTACCTCCCTTTACTCTTTAATGTTTATCACACCAAGGAAAAAATATGTAAGTTTCATTTTTCATTGGACTAACAACCCTGATATTGTAAGGATTCACAAACCAAGAACTGCAAAACTATCACTAGTAAGACCATATCGACTAGTTTTGATTTTCAAATAGCAAAATTATGTAGCAATTCACCTAAGTTATTCCTAAAAAAATAAGGGAGTCACCTGTAGTGCTTAGATTTGGAATGTCAGAGAGCAGCACTGAATTCTTCTGATTTTTCCTAGGTGTACACTTTAAAAGTCATAACTGAAAAAAATAAGAGCTCAGAATATTCTCCCTAAATGTCGTCTTAGACACTATTTCACCATGAAAGATTTAAAATATTAAACTACATTTGAAAGTTATCTTCCTACAATGGCTACCTTGTTTTGCTTTATTTTAAAGAGCTAGAATTTGAGTCTGTTGACAAGCATTCAAAAATTCTCTCTTTTTTAAACTGCCATCACTTTCAAGGCTCATGTGTTAGGTGTGAAATATCCACCCCAGAGTCATTTAGAAACATCCTAGGATTCTTGTAACAGGAACTATTAGATCTGAACTTCAAGAAACCACAATGGCAGGGACCAAAGGCTCCTTCTACTGGCTCCAATACCTCTCAAGAGAAGCGATAACAGAGTAAAACCCTACTAGGTAGGCCAAATAGCGATGGTGTAACTTTTAGAATTAAGCAGACATATATTCTAGTCAAAGTAAAATTGTCACACAAATATCTGTTTTATTTACATATCAATTTTACTGAAGTCCATAAGGATTTAAGTCTCGTTTCCCCTCCACTCCTAACGAAAAAGCACAACAAGTCTTACATCTTTTATAAGGAAAATGACCCCTCCCCGCTGATGAATATGAATGTGCAGAGTATTAATTAAGGAATAGGGAAGATGGCTCCTAGAACACGATGAGCAGAAACACTCTCCCTTTTTTATTTTTCTTCTTCTTGAGAGTCATATTTTGAGACTTCACACATCTGATGCGGCTGACCAACGTTGACTTCATGCATGAATTCATGCAAGGGGCTGTGCTGCTCAGCAGTCAAAGGACAGCAAAGTAGGCTTGCTCTGAACCTCAACATAATTTATTACAGATCATATGTCTGAGTACTTACTGCCAGCAAATAAGCACTGACCTTGAGCTGTATTTCTTTAAGATGGATTCCAAAATGTTTACCAGTTCCTCAGAGTTAATGAACTTTTGGGTGCTGAGCGTGTACATTTTTTCATAGAAGTCAGCAATTTCCATCCGAGCCTGAACAAAAAAACAGAGCTGTTCAGACAGGTGAGAAAGCAGCTCTTCCAAGTGAGGAGCTGTTCCTCCTAGTGCATTGCGACCCGTCGCCACCACCTTCTTCAGCTCATTATGCAGAGATGTGTAGATGGTTCGGATGGAGTCCTTTCGGCTGAAGAATGACTGACCACCTGTTCAGATAAATATGGAGGTATTACCAAAATCCAGGGACAGCAAAGAGAGACAGCAATACTGGAAAATTGTATATAGCCACGCTTGTTTTCCCCTAGGTGTTCCTAAGCACTGTTTGATCACAGCATTTTTTTTTTAAATCAAGAAACAGATTTCAGTGTATTATTTTGCAAGTAAATGAACTACACATAGCATATACTCAGAAGCACTTCATGTAATTTCACCGAAGTTACAGTTGTCCCAATTCATCTCTCAGCAGCCAATGACTGCTGCAAAACTTCAACTCCCTCACATCTGCCTCAGTTATGGCATGACCTTTCAGAAAACAAGGGTTCAGCTAAATTTGTACATGTACTATGACACATGATCTGGAAATACTGATACCTGTGGAAGTCAGAAGAATCAAGCCATCGCAAAATTTTAATAGCCTCCACTCCTATTAATAACTCTAGATCTTTTCAAGAGAATTCCCCTAACAATCCCTCTTCAATCATGAGGCACTCAAATTTGCAAAGCAACCTTTAAATGGGAACCATGTGACATCTGTGTGCACAAACCAAATGTTTCCAGTCCCTACACAATCTTAGTATAAACCAGAATTCAAAGGGAAAACAATCACAGTTTATCTCAGTGAGACCACAGCACAGGTTAATCCGTAACTAAAACTGAGGGGAAGAAAAGAAAAGAAAAAAAAAAAAAAGTAGTCTCTGCTTCTCTCTACCTGCTCAACACTATGAGGAATTTAAAAAAGAAAAAAAAAGAAAAAAAAAAGACAAAAGTAGAGGGTCAAAGTACAAGATATTTAACTTTGATGCTACCAAAAGACTGTACAAAGGTACTAACCTTACTTCATAATTTCTATTTACAAATGGCCTTATGTGCTGCTGTGGCACTCAACAGCTGCAGTAGAGCAAGAATCACAGGGACTGAATCTGCAGAACTTCTAAAGAGATTCCAAATTTAGGTTCCACTTTGAAACTGCTTACAAATTTTGTAATGGTGGATAGTCTTTTTCACATCCATTTTACACATATAATGTTCAAAAGCAACCTTAGCAATTTGAGGCAGAAAGGCAGAGAACTGGTTATCATGGTGAAACAGCTACCTTCCTAAGCCAAGAGTTGCCCCCAGGTCGTGGGCAGGATGAATAATCATCTACTGTTGTTGTTCATATAGTATATAAACAAACAAAACTTTGTCCCTTCTGTTGTCAATTTTATCCTTTCTGCAAGCACCAAATTCACTTTTTAAAGTCAGTCTTACAGCATTTTGTCTGTAAAGATCTTATAAAATAGTTTCAAGTCACTACTTAAACACCAAAGCAGAATTTTCTTGATGCTTTACTGCATTACACATCAGACTCATATCCCTTGATCCATTTTCCATGCCAGTCTGCAGTTCAAAGAGAAAATAAGCAGCTTTGCCCAGAGGGCAACATGATGACAGCTCATCCTGTGCCAGTTTGGGATTTTTCTATTCACGTACTGAAAGAGAGAGAAGCGGCCAAGATTTTGGCCAAAACTTCCTGAGATCCTGCGGAGTCTACATGAATAACAATTCTTGGGACACTATCTCCAGCCCTGAGTACTTACACACATGCAGCTCTAATATTAGGCTGTGGAACTGTGATGTGAAAAAGCTTTAACCCTCTGAGCTCACCTTTGCCGGAATCTCAGCCAGAGCATCCCAGCATAGAAACACCTCTGGCTAAGTCATGGGAACGGTACGTAGGTAGCCTACCAGCCAACACAGAGATGCACCTATTTGCACAGCCATTGTGCCACCTGCACGGCACCTGCGCTCTTATTTATTCTTTAGGGGTAACCCAAACGGCACAGCCGGTTTCTCACCGGGCCCACGGACACTTGCTGACCCAGCACCTGTGTTTCAGACACGCCGGCACGCACCTCACCGAGGCCAGGGTCCTCAGGTACCTAGCACCACGCAGCTACCGGCTGACCGATTACCTCCCAGGGCTGCGGCAGCCGCCCGTTCCCTACCGCGCCCGTTCCCTACCGCGGAGCTAAATCCGGGGCGG